CCAACATCAAGAATTATTCCGGAAAAAGCCGCAATACGATGACGCATCCTTGATATACGATTATTTTATTTTAAAAGAATCCCTGCTTTGAATATCAACAATTGAATAACAAGGACGTTGTTTTTTTCTTCGGAATATATATACACTTCGTAATTTCGCAGTAAGGCGTTTACTACTTAGGTGTATGCCGCTCGGATCCATTGTTGTCTCAATATTATTTTTTATTACTTTATTATTAAGGAAGATATGTACAGAAATTCTTTGTTCGAGTGTCGAGGGATTTAAATTAAAAAAATTGATACTCCGATAAGTGATAATTATTGGTTAACAAATACTTTATTATTGGTTTTCATATGGGACTGTTTAGATTTAATTCATGAATTCTAATCGCAGGTATCGAATATTAACGCAATCGTGTAAAAAATCGTTTGTTCTATTTTTGATAGTAAAAAGTTTGAGTATTTAATTCCAAAAATTTTTCATATATTTAAAAATATATGTTAAGATGAAATTTCCTGTTTCCTCTCCCCTTCTTTCTATACCTTCATTTAACGGAAGAAATTCAACTGATGATCTTCCAGGTTTAAAAAAAGGGCCATAGTCAGAAATATGTGACCAGTAACTGTAACCAGGCAGAAAGGAATCAATACTGTTAATGCAGTTAAGGACGCCTCAACAATCAATGGATACAAAAGAATATATATCCTCCCAATAACACTCGATCAATTCGAACCCTTCCTTATTTTTCAGCTATTGATAATAAAAGAAAGTATTTTTAGGAAAAAAATATGTTTTTGTACTGTTATATGCATGTTGTAAAAGTAATAATTTAAGTTAAATAACTATAACAAATAAGTTGGATATTTAATGGCATTTATCTTAATTTACTGAAGTTATTTTCGCAAGTTTATACAGGGTGTTTCATTGGTAAATGGGCACCCTTTAACCATAGATGGAGACCACCGAGGTGCTTACAAATAACCCATACTTAATGGGTCTTTCGAATTTTATAGCCGAGATACAGGGTGTTTTATCGATTTGGCCTATTTCTTTCCAGACTCATAACTTATTAACCACCCTCTATATGTTTTTGTCATTTGGCGTTCTTATTCACCGTAACTTACCAAATCTAAAAAGGTATAAACAAGGTACGAAATCCAGGTCCGTCTTTACAAAAAAATAATAAATTCGTCCATCCTTAAAACAACATCCTGTATGTCTGAATTTGAAATTTTTTTTTCATATTGAAAAAGAGCACAAAAAACTAAATCCAATAATGTACATTTTATTTTTGCGCAGACGATTTTACTACTGAAATTATAAGTCCAAATTGTTATTTTTGAGCATTTTGGAGGTACAAACTGGAAACGGACGGAGTTTTATTAATTTTATTACGGTATATTTAAAATTATTTAAAGCTACAGATATGTCAATACTTATAATTGTATGCATCTACACCATTTCAAAAAATAATGTATAATGTATAATGTACAAAAAGTAAGAACAATCTAATTTTTCTGAAATTTTTATAACTGTCCTTGTTCCTATTATTCTAGATCAACGGTATTATTTTAATTTCTAATTATTTACTATTCAGTAATTAAACCAGGACCTTGTGTCTTAAAATTATTGTAAAGCGTTTGAAATAAACAGCATAAAATGCATAAAATAACCACATAAAATGTCTGGACGATAACAGAATCGATAAAACCCTAGCAAAAATAAGACATAAAAAGCGCTAAAAAGGGACTACAAAACTTGGGCATTAACCAAAGAATGATCTATAAGGCCACACAAATTTAATATATACATACCTACTTTGTTATTCAGAAGTAGAAGAAAATTATGAAAATGTTTGATTTAAAGAATCAGTACGTAAAAAATTAAATTTTAAATAAAAGTGTTACAAATTTACAATAAAATGCTTGCCAAAACTTCCCAAACGTACGTCTAACAGATGTCACCACAGCATTAAATAAAATAAATATTTATTAATTTTAGACGTTAGAAAAACATTGTTAGGTATGCTGTTTTTGGCTAACAATCTGTATAAAATAAACCATTATAACTAAGGAGTTATCAACAAATATCTTTCTAAAGTAGGCATTGGAAAATTACATGTATGTCGGAGCATACAATAATTCTTCCTTTTGGTCAGTTTGGATTTAGTTCAGAGCAGTGCGTAGTTATCATGGACACGACTCGTATGTCTGTCTTTGTCTATCATGGCCTACTTTAGAAATAATTTTGTGGATCACTCTTAAAAATAAATATTGACTATAATGGGTTTATCGATAATCACTAGCTAGGCGTTCTGAAATATATTTTGATTCTTACACCTCATTATTGAATTTTCTGGTTTTAGTTTCCTTGAGTTGAAGTATTAAAAAACTGTAGTTTTACTATAATTCAAACACCTACAACCAGAACCCAAAACATAACAAGAACGATCGTCACTGGTTCTTAATGTCATAGATAAATCCATTTAATTGACAACACAGGTTTACAAAAAAAAGAGTCCGGACTATTTGACCAGACCATGGTATTCCTAGGTATTTTGGCATCCTGAATCCAATCCCGGGGTCAGTTTTGCCCTATTACGTCAGAAAAAACAGATTTCAAGTTCGTTTAGAGGTCAAAATGCTGATTTTTTGGAACTGGCTCCAGGACAATTTCTCAAGCGATCTGTTAAGTTAAGGGGTAACTGTGTAGGTCTTAAAATATTGGAAACGGTCTTCAAATCTCGATAAGAACCAGCGCAGGCCAGCCATGTAGATAAAATGTTTTTATGATCATTGTATCTTGCGAATTTCGATCTCCCTGCCAAGGTGTTCAATTTCGGCGATCCATTTGCTATGAGGTTCGAGGTATTTAAGCTCGTGAATTTTGCTTTCCTTGCCAATACGTAGAATTTTGGCGATTAAGTTATCGTCAGTTAATGTCAGCACTTCTCAAAGTGCTTCTAGAACATCGTCCAAAAATTGGGTGAAGCTCATTATACTGTTCGAGGCAAACTAAGGGTGCAGAAAATGGCCCGAGGATCCTAACCCGCAACTTCAGAGTTTGCCACCTTTGTTCTGCTGAGGCAGGCCATTGGAATTTAATCGCTCTGATAAGACGTCACATTCCACCAAGTGAATTGGTGTGGCTATCATATATTTGTGACTATAAGCGGGATTCCTGACAGTGGCCCATTGAACGTATTTCCGTTGTCGAGAATTCTACACCTTGAGTCAGCTCTGGCGGGAGAAGCAGCTGATCGATTCGACGTTCTGGCAAGGTTCTATAGGTTCTCAGATTAGTGCTGAGTAGACCACCGTTCGACCAAAGCAAATTTATCGTCAAATTCTCGCCTCTTGGCGGGGAACTTAAAATTCGTAACTTAGTAATTACGGGGCCACTTCCTACCCACATTTTGGCAAGATTCTGGGTCCTTAAGGTTAATGCCGAGTGGACGGTCATTATCTCGTAAATGCATCGTCGCAATCGACGCTTGGCAGTGAAATAGAAAGTCGCCAGATAGTAACCCCCTGAGCCACTTCTCCACCTTGGGCCAGACCTGAGCAGGACACGAAGCATAACTCGAATGTTCTGGCAAGGTTCTAGGTCCATTTGGGTCAGTGCTGGATCCATTGGCATTATCTTATAGCAGACGACTCGCCGGAATTGAACACCTTGGCAGGGAGATCGAAATTTGCGAGATACAATTATCATAGTAACATTTTATCCACTGGGCTGTCCCTGTGCTAATTCTGGTCGAGATGTATGGCCCTTGTCCAATGTTTGGAAGGTATTCACGACCTAGACAGTTACCCCTCAACTTAACAGATCGCTTGAAAAATTGTCCCGGGGCTGGTTCCGAAAAAGCACCATTTTGAACTCTAAATAACCTTGAAATCTGGTTTTTCTGACGTGATGGGGCAAAACTGACCCCGGGATTGAATTCAGGACGCCAAAATACCTAGGAATACCATGGTCTGGTCAAATAGTCTATACTTTTTTTTGTTTTGTAAACCTGTGTATTGGTTATTAAATTGTAATTTCATTTATTGGTAATGTGTTGGTAATTAATTGATAATTTATTTTATTAGTAATGTATTGGTAGTTTATTGGTAATTTATTGGTAATTTATTGGTATTTTATTGGTGATTTATTGGTAATTTATTGGTAATTTATTGGTAATTTATTGGTAATTTATTGGTAATTTATTGGTAATTTATTGGTAATTTACTGATAATTTATTGGTAATTTATTGGTAATTTATTGGTAATTTATTGGTAATTTATTGGTAATTTATTGGTAATTTAATTTATTGGTAATTTATTGGTAATTTATTGGTAATTTATTGGTAATTTATTGGTAATTTATTGGTAATTTATTGGTAATTTATTGGTAATTTATTGGTAATATATCGGTAGTTTATTGACAATTATTGGTAATTTATCGGTAATTTATTGATAATTTATTGATAATTTTTTGGTAATTTATTGGTAATTTATTGGTAATTTATTGGTAATTTATTGGTAATTTATTGGTAATTTATTGGTAATTTATTGGTAATTTATTGGTAATTTATTGGTAATGTATTGCCAATTTACAAGTAAGATATTGGTAATTTATTGATAATTCATTGGTAATCATTGTATTTTTAAATTTGTAACACCTTTTAGGATGACTAAGTGCATGTTCTGTCAATAAGCAGGCTAGAATTTTTTTTTCTAATTTATCTGGTGTGCTCTTTCTTTTCCAAGTCTCCTCAAAGAACAAAAATTTTGGATGAGGTAGTTAATCTCAGGTTGACAAGATCTTCCCAAACACATTGGAATGTTCAATCGCAAGGTATTCATACTGTTTATGAGAATAGAAAAGACCTCATTACAGTTGTGGACATTATAGAAAGTACTTCACGCGATTCGTCGTCTATTATTCAAGCAAGTGGGTACAAATTAAAACTTCAGGATAAAAATTTTATATTATGGTTAAGTATTTTTCATCAAATAATGCCTCACGTGGAAATTATTTTTAACCAATTACAAAAAGTATTATGCACAGATTCTGTTAAGGTCAAGAAACATTTGGATAATTTCGAAGCAGCAATTCAAGGTATACGGGAGCAAATGGGCAGCATTATTGACAATATTCAAGGAAAAATAAACACGTCGCAAGAAGAAACTGGTGAACCAATAAGAAAAAAGGCACGAATTGAAGAGAACAGCAGAAAACGCGAAGCCTTAGAAATATGCGAAGCCGTTTTATTGCAAATAAAAACAAGGTTCAACTTCTCTGGACATTTGGTCGCTTTTAATTTATTTATGTCGGAGAAGTTTTCGGTCTATATGCATCAGTTTCCCGAATCATTCCTCAATGAAACATGTATACAATTCATTTTTAGACAAAAATATGCTTAAAAATGAATTACAAGTACTGTATCAGAGAGACGAATTAAGTACCAGCTCCGGAGCTGCCCCGCTGTCAATATTATTAAATGAGAAAGGTTTAAATTGTGAATTTCAGGAAACTCTTAAACTTTTAGGTATTTTGATAATAATACCTATGTCAACATCTGAAGCAGAGCGCTGTTTTTCAATGCTTAAATGTATTAAAACATTCCTCAGAAATACAATGAAGGAACGTTGTCCACAGAAAAACATTTTGTAAATGGAATTGAAAATTTTAATAATAAAGTAATTGAAAACTTTGCAACCAAAAAAGAAAGAAGAATGGACTTCATTTATAGGAAACTTTAAAACTAGTATATTAAGCAACTTTGTGCGCGTTTGTAAATACTGTAAATAGGTATAGTTTTATTTTTGTGATTTTTTTGGTATATGGACACCTAAAGACTCTTTATAGTAATAACAAACTGCAAAGACTTTTAGCATTAGTTAATTTATAATTTCTAATTAATTTTACAGAGTTCTTTGATAAGTTTTGAGTAATTTATTGGCAAAGTTTAGGATAATACTAACCCTGAAGGCCTGTTTCGTGGCAAAACTTGTGTTAGAAACCTCATAAATAGTAGTCATATAATAAATGTAAAAGTATCCGTCCTTCATTAATTTTTTTATTTAACATTTTATATCTATTTTGACAATACCGTGATAAATTTTTGGCGAAAGCCAGTTTTTTAAACGACTTTCGGTTAAAAATTTGGGCGTGGCACCCCAAAAATTTATCGCCTCCGGTCGGGGACCTCCGACAGGGCGCCTCCGGCGGGGTTTTCACATTTGTTAAAAATCTGGCACTACTATCCCGTATTATCACGAGCCGCCACTGAATAAAAGTACTGAAGAAGGCATATACTATCGCCGAAGGCTCTACAACTTTACTATAAAAGAAAAATTAGTTTTTCTTTAATTCCAAACACGTACAACCCAAGAAAACCAAAACCGAAAAATTCAATAAAAAGGCATAAGAACCATAACAACATAAGATAGGTTCTCTTATGCTTTATAGTATAATAATCAAGAATAAAATAAGTCATAATCAGAATCAGACAAAATTAATATTTAAATATTATAAAATGTGTTTAAATTGATTGATTCAATACATACTAAAAAAAATAATCCCGTATCACGATCGTTTGATTAACACAACGGACGGTCATTTGGGGGTTTTGGGTTTATAATGCGGCGTGTAACATTGCTCAATCGATTTGAAAGTGAACATTGTAATTTCATGGCTGTCAGGATGGGTGACCTACCGCCCGATGGGCACTCACAAAGTGTCCGTCATTGGGACGTTCTTTTTACTTTTTTTATCAACTTATTAGTTAACCTCCGGGTTTGTAATGAATGTCAGATTGATGGATTTTTTTATTCATATCGTCTTAAAAGGGTTTTATATTCTTATGACTACTCAAAAATCTTGACGCACATTTTGAAAAGAGGTTTTTAAAATAGTTTTATGACAGTAACCTTCCGCTTCTTTATCTTTAGTTCTGGAAATACCACGAGTTCATTGATAGAATTGAGACCAAACAATGACGATTTTATTCTTATATGTCTTTCTGACGAGGTAAATGAGTAAATATAATGCAGCTAGTGGTACTTTAAAATGGGTACTTATTTTTTTTAATAATTTTAGCATCTGTAAGTTCGGTTTAAAACTTTATACAAGCGCCAATATCGCTGTATTTTTGATTTGGGTTTGTATTAAGCGTAGTTTTTTTATTATTAATATGTATGATATTAATACATTATTTTCAAACACAAACAGCTGGTATAAATATTTATAGATTCATTAACGCTAGATCCATTAAAAATGCATTCCGATCTTCGATAGGTATTGAATGTCGTAGATCTGGCAACAGGGCGCATTTTTCGCAATATCACCAATGATATATGTCGTTATAGAGACTACGAAAAGCTGGTTGCAATAGCGGTTGCAATGAACGCTGCTCTATCGCCTTTCCAAGTGTTCACTGAATAGAACCGTTCTGACCCAAATGTGTTTTAAAATAAAATTTCAGCATTTCAATATGTAGAAAAAAAATATCTATTTTACTTCAAATACACGATATTATCTTAGATATTTTAAAAATATTTGTTGTAAAGTTGAGTTTCCATATAGTCAAATAAAATTAAGAGATCTAAACAATTTTATAACAGAGAAACAGTAACAAAGCTTACACGAAACACATATTAATAAAAATCAAATCACAAACTGAGACTGGGATATTAGATGAATACCTTAACCATAAAACATAAAAAAACACTGATGCTTGTTATCATAATTATTATTAAATATACAGAACAAAGTTTTATTGATTGCTGCATAAAATTAATTTTATAAATTCCTGCCTTATTATAAATAGGACCATGATATTTTTGGTCAAAATGAAAATTCTAATTTTATAGCAACATTCTACACCAGTTTCAATTAACAATATGAACTATCTATATCTGTAAGGTGGGTAAGGTAGGTTCCTTTAGAGCACTTAACATCATAAAACCCATTGCGCTTCCTCCAGGGGCATATAGAACCTGCCTTTCAACTTGTCAAAACATGCTGGTTGTCACTGAGAGGTGTCTAGAGACAGTTGCATCTTCTCAGCTTTTTAAAGTCCTGCAGGTTATCAACTCGTCAAAAAGCTACTGGTTGACGCTGAGGGGTGTCTACAAATAGCCATCTTCTTAACTAATCAATATTCTGCAGTTTATTAACTCATCAATAATTCCGGTTCATCAGAAAGCAGTGCCCATAGTGAAACTGCGGAAGAAGAAGCAAATGATACTGCAGTAAGTGCTCCTGCTGCAAATATTACTTTAGTGAATTAACCGCTAATTAATGACAATAATGTTTGGCATGAAGTTGGCTCTTCATCTTTGTGATTTAATATTCAGTTCAACGGGATGCAAATGGTTAAGCATCATATTAGTTTTTATCCAAATAATAGAGAGGAGTTATCACCAATTGATGTGCATATAACAGATTTCTTTACCATGAAATTTTGGACACTATTGTTTTGGAAACAAATAGAAATGCCATTTAAATTTTACAAAACAACAAGCACTCAAAATCGTCTAGAATAAACAAGAAATTAGAAATTTTTTTGGTTTAATAATGTATATGGGTTTAGTAAAGTACCCAAAAATTTCAGATTATTGGAGTAACCACATCCTTCACAAAAATCAAGTGTTGCCAAAAGTGATGAGCAAGAATAGGTTTCAAGTACTACTGCAACTAATTCACTTGGCCAATAATGAAACTAGCAACAAGGAAAATAGATTATATAAAATCACCAACATTATAGGGAAGTTTCGAGATAAATGTTCCAATGAACGTGTGCCTGGTGAAACTGTTGCCGTAGACGAAACAATGATACCTTTTCGTGGTCGTCTGCATTTCAGGCAATACATTTCTAGCAGACATCGATATGTTGTTAAACTTTTCAAGCCTTGCTATCCGAAATACAGGACAAGATTATTTTGCAAAATTGGGGAATAATAATAATAATATTAATAAAAATTTAGCAGAAATAGTAGTTTTGCAACTAGAGGATGGATATCTAAACCAATAAAGAATTGTTATAACTGATAACTTTGACGCTTCAGTACCCTTTACAGAGAGCCATCTTTCAGCTGAAACATATCTCTTGGACACGTTGAGAAAAATCGAAAAGGATTACCTAAAAAAATAGTCAATACCAAAATAAAAAAGGGTAATATAGTAGGAAAAGTACAGAAGGCATCGTCGTGGCTAAATGGCAAGATAAGAGAGCCTTTTTTTTTCTAACAAGAAAACATGACATTGAAATAAAATGTACAAGAAAAAAGAATAAATAAGGTGAGAAAATCAATAAACCGGCAGCTATCATTGACTATAACGCTGGAAAAGATGGAATTGATGTTACATATCAAATGGGCAGCTATTTTTTCCCACTTCGAAAAACTCTTGAATATAGCAGGAGTCAATTCCCTATTGATTTACAAGTTATTTTCAAATAAACAGATTCAGATATCTGAATTTCAAGAAAAACTGGTACTAAGTTTGAGTTGAGGAAAAACCTGAGGAAATCCCAAAAAACAAACAAATTCTGCATTCCACTGAGCCAAGAGGAAAAGATAATAGGAAAAAAAGGTCTAGATGCGTTGGTTTCTACGAAGAATCTGCCCGTGAGGAAAGCCGATCTAACTCTATTAAGAATTCCAAATTTTGTGTCCACCTATTGCAAAAAAATGTAATAACAGAAAAAAATTATCATCAACATTCAAAAAAAGCTTTGCACTTGAAAGATTACATTTGTTTGAAATAAAGCAGAGTTTGCTTCAAATAATATTTCTCGATACAATAAGAAATTAAATGTTGAGTGAAGTGTAGACATAATCTTGTATTTTAATAATAATAATAATAATAATAAAGGTCTTTATTTTCCTTTCAAGTTACATAACTATTTACAAACATTATGACAAAAAAAGCAATCGTAACAAAGCAAGAAAGGAAAAATGCCGAAGATCAGGTGACGATAATTTCAATGAAATCATCGCCTCTGTTTTTCATCTTAAGCAGTAGTAACAATGACTAAAATTAACTTAATTTCTAATTACTAAAAAAAAAAAAAAAAACAAATAAAACAATTTCAATTAGCAATATCAGAAACATTAGAAAATAATATGAAGGAATATTTATTTTTTAGAATATTACCAAACATTACCAACTATTACCAACTATTACCAACTATTACCAAATAACGCAATAGACGATTAGTGACTTTTTAAAGAGGAATTTTCCATGATTAAAGATGAGTTACTACTCGTTTAAAAATGTATG